GCTATTAACACAAAAAAAATGGATTAAGAAAACACTCAAAAAAGAAAAAAGAAAAAAGAAAAAAAAGGTGATATGATTTAGGTTTTTAAAGTTTCATTATACAATAATTAAATTTAAATCATACATCATCTTTTGAAATAAATTTGTCGACGCTTTTTCATAATTCCTAAACTTTTCAGATATTATTCAAATAGTAATACTACAAATTAACCCAGAATTAAGTACGTGAAAATTATTTAAAATTATCATCTTGTGATTCAGATTTATTCTACACATAAATTTTATACTAAATAAATTTTAACTTTCACCACACAATCATTCACCCACTCACTCAGAATTTTGTGGGTAAATATGTCTGGGGTCCTAAATTTTTTTTTCTTCTCCTTGTTTTTAAGTGATACTCTTAAAAAAACAAAAAACAATGTTATTCTAATTTATAAAATGAGATTTTTATTGATAAGTCCAATTTAGAAGTGTTTTAACCCAAGAAGTCCATGAAGGAATTTTTTAACCCATTTAGTCCCATGTATGTATAGTTTTATTCCATAAAGTCCATTTTCTTGATTTACACTATTTTCTTGGACACTTATGCCCTTATATTTAACAATAAATTATACTAAACTGACTCACTCTCTATTTTTAAAAGAGATTTTTATTGATAAGTCCAATTTAGAAGTGTTTTAACCCAAGAAGTCCATGAAGGAATTTTTTAACCCATTTAGTCCCATGTATGTATAGTTTTATTCCATAAAGTCCATTTTCTTGATTTACACTATTTTCTTGGACACTTATGCCCTTATATTTAATTTTGTTACCCTTATAAATATTTTTTGAACGATTAGCAATTTAATGATGTGAACATTCATATTTTAAAATTCGCATTGGTAGGAATGTAAAATTGGCTCGTGGGCGGCCCGAACCCCGGCCGCGAGCCGGGGCGGGCCCGGCCCGTTGACAATGTGAATATTCACATTGACATATTAACATTCACATTAATAGAAGTGTAAAATTGACCCCAGTCCCGTGGCGGCGCGAAACCCGCCCGCGACCCATGGCCGGCCCGGGGCGGTCCCGGTCCGGCCCGTCGACAATGTGAATATTTACATTGACATGTTAACATTCACATTGATAAGAGCATAAAATTGGGCCGCGGCTCATGGGCGGCCAAAAGCCCGCCCGCGGCTCGGGGCGGGCCCGACCCGGCCCGTTGACAATGTGAATATTCACATTGACATATTAACATTCACATTGATAGGAGTGTAAAATTGACCCTCGTCCCGTGGCGGCGCGAAACCCGCCCGCGGCCCGTGGGCCGGGCCCCCGGCTCGGGCTGTTGGAACAATGTGAATGTTCACAATTGACATGTTAACATTCACATTGATAAGAGTATAAAACTGGACAGCGCCAGGGCGGGCCCGAACCCGGCCGCGGCCCGTTGACAATCGTGAATATTCACATTGACATGTTCACATTCACAATTAATACGGAGTGTAAATTGGCCCCCCGTCTCGTGCACGGCACGAAACTCGCACCGCGCCCATGGGCGGCCCGGGGCTGGCCCCGGTCCAGCCCATTGACAATGTGAATATTCACATTGAATGTTAACATTCACATTGATAAGAGTATAAAATTGGGCCGCGGCCTATGGGCGGGCTCAAAAGCGCCGCCCGCGGCCCGGGGCGGGCCCGGCCCGTTGACAATGTGAAATTTATTCACATTGACATTGTTAACTTCACATTGATAGAGTGTAAATTAGCTGCGCACCTCATGGCTGCCCGAACCCCGCCCACGGGGCCGTGGGCGGGCCGGCCCTGCCTGTTGACAATGTGAATATTCACATTGACATGTAAACATATACATTGATAAGAGTTATCAAACTGGAACAGCAGTCCAGCCAGGGTCGACCCGGCCGCGGCCCGTTTGACAATGTGATATTTCACATTGTACATGTTAACATTCACATTAATAGGAGTGTAAAATTGGCCCCGTCGCCGTGGTGGCGTGAAACCCCCCACGGCCTGGGCGCGGCCTGGGGCGGCCCGGCTCGGCCCGTTGATCAATGTGAATATTCACATTGACATGTTAACATTCACATTGATAAGAGTAATAAAATTGGCTCGCGGTCCATGGACGCGCCAAAAGCCCGCCCGCTGCCCGGAGCGGCCCGGCCCGGCCCGGCCTGTTGACAATGTGAATATTCACATTGATGTTAACATTCCATTGATAAGATGTAAAATTGCCCCGCAGCCGTGGGCGGCCCGAAGCCCAGACCGCAACCTGAGGCGGGCTTGGCTCGACTCGCTGACAATGTGAATATTCATATTGACATGTTAACCATGCACATTGATAGGAGTGTAAAATTAGCCCGCGTCCGTGCTGCCCGAAACCTGGCCCAGCGGCCGTGGGTGGCCCGGGGCGGGCCCAGCCGGCCTGTTGACAATGTGAAAATATTCACATTTGACATGTTAACATTCACATGATAAGTGTGTACAATTGGCCCGTGACCCGTGTGCAGCCCGAAGCCTGACCTCAGGCCGGGGTGGCCTAGCTCGTTGGCAATGTGAATATTCACATTGACATGTTAACATTCACATTGATAGGAGTGTAAAATTGGCCCGGCAGCCCGTGGGCGGCTCGAAGCCTGATCGCAGCCCGAGGCGAGCTTGACCCGACCCGTGACAATGTGAATATTCACATTGACATGTTAACATTAACATTGATAGGAGTAAAATTTGTCCGCTGCCCGAAGCTCGCCCGCGCCCGGGGTAGGCGTGGACCCAAACCCGGGCCGCCACGGGGCTTCAGCCGCCCGTGGGACGCGAGTCAATTTTACACTCTTATCAATGTGAATGTTAACATGTCAATGTGCAATATTCACATTGTCAACAGGCCGAGTCGGGCCCGGCCCTGGCCGCCCACGGGCCGTGGGCGTATTTCGGGCAGTTACGAGGCGCGGGCTAATGTTACACTCTTATCAATGTGAATGTTAATATGTCAATGTGAATATTCACGTTGTCAACGGGTCGGGCCCGCCCCGACCCGGGGCCGGGCTTCGGGCTGCTCACGGGCCAATTTTACACTCTTATCAATGTTAATGTTAATATGTCAATGTGAATATTCACATTGTCAACGAGCCGGGCCGGGCCCGCCTTGGGCAGCGGGCGGGTTTCAGGCCGCCCACGGGCCACGGGCCAATTTTACACTCCTATCAATGTGAATGTTAATATGTCAATGTGAATATTCACATTATCAACGGGCCGGACCGGGCTCGCCCCGCGCCGCCCACAGGCTTCGTGCCGCCCATGAGACGCGAGTCAATTTTACACTCTTATCAATGTGAATGTTAACATGTCAATGTGAATATTCACATTGTCAACAGGCCGGGCCGGGCCCACCCCAGGCCGCCCACGGGCCGTGGGCTAGTTTCGAGTAGCCACAGGGCGCGGGCTAATTTTATACTCTTATCAATGTGAATGTTAACATGTCAATGTGAATATTCACATTATCAACGGGTCGGGTCGGGCCCGCCCAGGGCAGCCCACGAGTCGCGGGCGGGTTTCGGGCCGGCCACAGGCCGCGGGCTAATTTTACGCTCCTATCAATGTGAATGTTAACATATCAATGTGAATATTCACATTGTCAACGAACCGGGCCGGGCCGGGCCCCACCCGACCCGGGTCCGGGCTTCGGGCTGCCCACGGGTCATGGGCCAATTTTACACTCTTGTCAATGTTATTGTTAATGTTAATATGTCAATGTGAATATTCACATTGTGAACGGGCCGGTCCGGCCCGCCCCGGGCGGCGGGCTAGTTTCGGGCCGCCCACGGGCCGCAGGCCAATTTTACACTGCTATCAATGTGAATGTTAACTTGTCAATGTGAATATTCATATTATCAACAGGCCGAGCCGGGCCTATTTTTTTGGCCTGTGGGCCGGCCCGGCCCGACTCGAATTTTTCCGGGCACCCACGAGGATCGACATGGGCCGGGCCCCTACACATTGACGATATGAACATTTACGTTGACGGTGTGAACATTCACATTAAGGGTATTTTGGTAATTATATCACCCATAGGACTTATTAAAATATAAGAAAATAATGTGAACTAAATGAAACATAAGTAGATGAAAAGGGTATTTTGGTCTTCTTATATCAAATTGGACCTAATGGAATAGTCAAAAAGAATATGGGTTGGATGGAATAAAGCTCTTAGGAAATGGATTTATCAAAAAAACTCCCTTATAAAATTCAAACCTTTACTTTTCAAGTTTTTAATGACAAGACCAAATTTATTTTATCTATTTTGTTATATATTAAGATGGTGTTGATACATAAAATGTCTCATATTTTAGGTATTCTATTATACATCTGAAATTTTAAATAATAATAATAAAAAAAAATCTTGAACTCGACACCTTGAGTTTAAGAAAAAATAAAGTAATATTTTAAATTATAATTATAAATAAATTACACTGACACCTTTTAAGATTTATGTTTAATACAAATTTCTCTTTCATATTTAAAAAATTACATTCTTCTCTCTAAAGTTTGTAACCTCATTACAAAAATGTCCCTTAGATTGTTGATGTCATATTCTAAAATTTTTCAAATGATCATCTTGATATTTTTTCTTACTATTTCTTCTTCCAATTATCATGACTACATTCTATAACTTTCTATTATTAAATTTTACCTAAACATATTTTTATTGATATACAAACATAAATTTTTTATAGAATTTTCAAATACAACGATATAACTTAATAACACTACAACAAAAATTGCCTATCACCACGTTTTTTAGACAACGTTTTTTGACCAACGCTGTGGAAGGCATAAAGTTAAACTAAAAACACGCGTTTTCCTCTTATAAGCACGCGTTACACTGTGCTCCGTCTTCATTTCTCTTTCCGTCTCTATCATTCTCTCTCTATCGTTTTCTCCGTCCGTCCTAGATCTAGGGTTTTCTCTCTCTCTCTCTCTCTCTCTCTCTCTCTCTCTCTCTCTCTCTTTGTGCTCCTTGAGAGATTCATCAGGTTCGATTTCGATTACTGGTTCAGTGCTAATTCTAAATCCATCGATTCTTGAATCGATTTGGTTAAAATTTCTTGACTATTTTTTGTTTTTCTTGATTCTGATTCTGATAATTTTACAGAGGAAGATGGACAGATTGAGTTGCACGAATGCGAGGTTACGAGACCGAGGAGTGAAAAAGGATCGAGATCATGGATCGGGATCGAGACAAGGATCGGGACTGAGACTGGTCGAATCGAAGCAAGAGGAGAAGACGAGATCATGAATACTGGGTTTCTAGTAATTGAGTTGTTATGGTAGCGAAGGGATTCTAATTTATGGATCAAAGGGCAAAGCTCCTCCTAAGGTTTGTCCTCTCGTCGCTACCGCCCCTCTGGTCTTGTCCTCTCTCTCTCTCTCTCTCTCTCTCTCTCTCTCTCTCTCAGATCTGATCTCAAACACGTGATTTACTATCTTCACGTATTTAAAAAGATAAGGCATCATCTATTATTATCTATCTGTACTTATGTTAACATAATCAAGGGTGCTTTAATAATGCTGCTCTGCACTATACTCTTCTTCAGGCTGAGTGGATTGCCCCAGAAGTGCTCAGAAATGAACCTTCAGATGAAAAGTAGGTTGTTCTTTTTCATTTTTTTCCCTACGTAAATCATTTATGTTTTTAAATATTTATTTATTTGTATATTTATCTTTGTGAATTGTTCACCAGTGCTGAATTATTACTGGATGCGATTCAGGTGTGATGTTTATAGCTTTGGTGTTATTTTATGGGAGCTCTGTACATTGCAGTAGCCGTGGGGGGGAATGAACCCAATGCAAGTTGTCGGTGCAGTGGGTTTTCAGCATCGTCGTCTTGACATTCCCGATGATATGGATCCTGTTATTGCAAATATTATTACGAAATGCTGGCAAACGTGAGTAAATTCTGAATTTAAGCCTTCCACGCAATCTGTTTTTTGATATATTGTGAAATTTCACCCCTCTAGTAATTCTGCTTGACTTGATTACTAATTAGAGTAGGAGTTTATTGTTTTTCATTATTAGGGTAAATTGCACCACTGGTTCTTCTAATTTGAGTGAAATTTCACTTTAGTTCCTGGTGTTTCAATTTTATTAATTTAAACTTCACACTTTCAATTTCATTTCAAAGTCATCCCTCCATTAGTTGCCGTTATCATTTTGGATGGAAAGACAACACATGTGAAACTAGAGAAACTAAAGCAAAATTCAGAGTTTAGTTATTAGCATAAATTGTACCATTGATCCCTCTAATTTCAGTGAATTTCACCTTGGTCCTAGTTGTCCCAATTTCATCAATTTAAACCTTACATGTGAATGTTGTTTTAATGTGATCCCTCCGTCAGTTGCAGCGAACATTTTGAATGGAAAAACAACACATGTGAAACTAGAGAAATCAAAGTGAAATTCATAATTTATTTGTTAGGGTAAAATATACCATTCGTGCTTGGTCCCTTTAATTTGAGTGTAATTCACTTTGGTCCTTGTTTCAATTTCATCAATGTAAACCTTAAACTTTCAATTTCATTTTAATGTGGTCCTTTTGTTGGCTGCCATTAATATTTTGGATGGAAAAACGACAAGTGGCATTATTTCCTCTTAGTCTGTACCAGTGAGAGACTACTTTTGGAAGTTTGTCCCTATTATTTCTTTGTGAATACATGCTTCAGTTTTCTTCCTCCCTTATATATTAAAGGACCAAGAACACTATTACTGACTACCGATTCCAATAAAAATGGAAATAAGAAATTATAACTACTATAATTATATTGTAATTATGACTAAGACAGATTATACTAAAATGCATGATTTTTTAAAATTGTTGGAATCATTACAATGAATTCAAGGAATCAAACTCAGAGGTACTGGAAAGAATTTTTTCTTGCATGTGAGAAAGGCACTAAGAAGGAAATAGAATAGAACTAGGCGTAACAGATTGATGAAAGAACCATTTCCCTCAAACTTTACAGTAACCACTTCTTCACCATAGCTACGTACAACTATATTTGTGTTATAGACAGATACAATTCCATGATAAGTGATCTTTCTGGAGGCTCCAACAAATGTAAGTATCTAAAATACTAAGACCATTCAAAGAATAAGAAATTTAATGATTGCCTAAAATTCCCGCAAGCTCAACAGAGCTGGCAAATTGAAGAGGCCAAATTTATTCACTGACTGAAGCATATAAAAGATGTAAGGAGGTATTCTTTTTTATCAGCAGTAACTGAGGTCTTAGACAATCAGGCATCTTATCAACAACATAAGATGCCACAATGGTCTGAATTGTGTACAACATCAAAAATTAAAGGCATGTCAGGGTGGTGTACTAGAATCATCAAAAGAAGATAAACAAGTTTTCTATTTTAATGACAGGCTAGCCTATGAAAACATAAGAAAATCATCTCCATTCACCATACCTACATCTTAATGTATGAGGACAAGTTCACCAATGAAATAACCACATAAATTTTACCTTTATGATCAACAAATAAACTTGGACATATAGTCCTGTCCTGTATACTGATGATGGCTGTTCCTTTAAAAAAAAAAACAAAAAAACAAAAAGAAGACTAGAAGGTCCCATATTCACAACACCAGCTGAACTGAACATGCTAAATCCTCAACACAATGACAAACTCGGCCATTATGTGATCTATGGGACCTATTGGAACCTTTTGATGCTTGATTGTAATATTTAAATTGTTCTTTTTCTTACTGGTTTTCTGTTTCATCAATTAAGCTGACTTGTGACTTTTTATTTTGTCGAAGGATCTTGTGACTTTTTGCATATTATTGTCCTTATGGTTTTGGTTCCACTTCCTGATATAATTTCTGGTATTTGCTATGTGGTATCTTGGTTTCTTTTGTGAAGATAATTTTACTTGATTTTGGTTTCATAGTTTGTGGTATCTTCTTCTTCTTCTTCTTCTTTTAAAATCTTGAAATAAAGATAACAGTTAATTTTCAAAAATAAGAAAAACGAAATATAAAAAATGCTTGCTCTTGAGCTGGAGGGCTTTTGGTCTCTTGTTTGAACACAAATTATATAGTGCCAAATTGTCCTCATTTGTTCTGATACAATCAAGATTGTGAACCAACTCAACTCTGTCAAACTTCCTTTCATTTTTTTTTCTGCATTTTTACTTCCTTGCTTGGTTTTTTGGTGTATAACCAGTACTGTTCTTGTTGTAGTTCTCAACTCTGTCAAACTTCCTTTCATTTTTTTTTCCTGCATTTCTACTTCCTATGTCATATGATCTTGGTCTTCAAGTTGAGAACATAAAAATCGTTTGTAGTGTTTGATTGATCTTTTTTAGCAAGCATGTCTCTTCAGTTTATTTATTTTTTAGTCCCAATCATTTGCTTACTTATGTGTATATTTTGTTTTTGTGGATGATCACAGATGCGGACATTCTTTTTGTTACAACTGCGGATCTCCTCTAATAGCCCACTACTGTAGTAAATGTAAGCATCAAGTCCTCATAGATGCCAGCCTTTATGTATTCATGAAACTTCTGTTTTCAATCTGCTACAGGACATAGTGATGGAAGCAGCCATCTTAACGAATGTGTAAGATGCTCATCTTTAATGCAATTTTTTTAAAAACTTTTTAACGATTTGTTATGAATTCTTATTAAGGATTAGTGCTAGACACAAATTCTGATCTCTGTTGTAATCAACAAAACAAATGCAATTTGGATGAATCTTTGCTAACCTTATCACAAAATTTAAATTTATCAGGAAAAAGAAAAAAAGACATATGTTTTAGATTTGAATGACGCAACTGGTTAGTTATGTCCTAAAAATTGTCACCAACCTCAGAATCACATTGTTTTGATCGTCGAACTTCTTCAATCTCCTGACCCAACATGCACGATCAAATGCATTTATTGTATTTATCGACATGTTTTGTTTTAGTCACTTTCGTGTCCGTCATTTGCCTAATTTTCCTGTTATTTGCTTACTGCAAAATACTAAAACACTGCTGCACATTTCAAAGAATTAAGAATCTTAGAGCAACATAATCACAGTCCTTACCATTTTCAGATATGGCAGTGTCGTGGCCATAGGACTCAATGTTCACACAAGGCTGGCATTTTGTCTGGAGATGTTATCTGAAAATTGATGACACAAGTACAGAAACCATGGACATATATGATGCAGCAGAGTGCTTGCAATGAGTTCTCTACTATGCTCATCACTTAGTTCTCCATGTTACATTTTTGTTCACCAAATATTATCTACAATCAATCAATGAGATCCTTTGCTGCATTGTGGTAGAATAGTGTACATTTGCCAGTTTTAAACTATTATTGAATTCTTTCTCCTAGGTTATCACGCATTGAGCCCTTATTTTAGAACTATATTGTCTGATTACTTATGCATACAATAAGATTGTGTATTTTTGCAGTTATAAATTTATTTATGTTAGATGTTTAGTAATGCTTTGTTGTGCTTGACGTTGAGGGAAATGGGTTAATGATGGATAATGCATATATATATATATATATATTAATTGCTAGGTTGCAAATGCGTTAGTGATAGATTTTGCAAATTTACTTACTGGGTTGCATGACGAATCATTTTTGTGCAATAGCACTTTTAAGATCATCATTTTTTAGTCTTCAATCGATAATGGCATGCTCAATGGCTGATATTTTTGGGTTGATAGTCAATGGTTGCTGTAAGAATCTAACTATCAAGTCTATTTTTTATCTGCCTCTAACTTCTTTTCAATCAGATTGAGTTTGTCTATTTTTCCTTTTGATTACAGTGAAAAAGCTTTTATGATATTGAGAATGACAAAGAATGGAAGGATGATTCAGGTATATATTATCATTTTGCTGAAGAGGATTGGATGACTAAAAGATGAACTTCTTTTCAAAGTTTGGAGGGCACACTCCATATTTTTTTATTATTATTAAATTGTAAAAGTATTAGTAATTTTTATTTTTATTTTTTTTGTATTTATTTAACATATTGTGTTTTATGGGTTTTTTTTTTTAATTTATAAGTTGTGGAAAATTGAAAAATGGATATTGACCCACATTACGGCATATATTTTGAAAATGGTGATGGATAATAGGTTTGCTTTGAACCAAAGTAAAAGCATAATTAATTATGAATTTTTTTTTAAAAAAAAAAGAGAAAAGGTGGCATTTTCGTAAAAACGTCGCAAAATATCGTCATGATTACGTCATAGCTAACCCTTCTAACGGACACTGTTAACCGAGGTTAAGAATCAGTGGCCATATCTGCGACGAAGATATGACGGCGGCCATATCTGCGACGAATTTTGTAAACGTAACTTTATATTTTTGCGGCGTTTTTTAGGCCTATTGCGGCGTTTTACAAACGCCGGTAAATCTCAATTTTCCTGTAGTGTCTCCTCCTCTGAAATGGCCAAACAAGTCCTTAAAACTACGACCTCGATTGCTGTAGCCGCCCTCTCTCTCCCGGCCCTAAAAAACTCTTTCACATTGTAATATTGAAAATGATGTGATTTAATCAGTGACATGATATCAAATGACTGTTACACTTAATATTTGTTGGTGTTGGGGCCAAGGGTGGGGGGGAAGAAATTGTTCGTGTATCCTGTGGGTTCATATAATTAGTTGTTTTTTTCACATGTATTTGGGTTGGGTGTGGAGTTATGAATTAATCCAGTAGCAATCCAATGCGTAAGGTTTTACTAATTGTCTGGGACTAGGTTTCTTAGGTTCGTCTATAACTATGGTTTTACTAATTGTCTGGGACGAGGTTTCTTAGGTTTGTCTATATATATGATACATATGTAATTCTAATTTCTAGTGGTTTTGCGAAACCAGAAATGGTGTGAGGCTTGTAGAAAGGAGGCAGTGGATTTGTACTCTTCCATTGACATAGTGGAATATTTTGTCTCTTAAGCAGGTTTCTGCCAAATCATATAAATCTCTTATAATTGTTGTTTGCTTCTTGTGTGTGTGTGTGGTGGCCTTTCGTTCACATTCGGGGATATATAGACATATAGCAATTGTGTCAGATTTGTGTGATTGTTGGATTTGTGGTAGTGGTGCATATGCTTAAAGCAATGCATTGTTTAAAAATCTTCTGACATAGTTTTGTGTGTGGAGTATATGTAAATCTCAAGGAAGAAACATATATATAATTTCAAAAGAGAAGTGTGATACATCATGATATTAGCTAAATACATTTGTCATCTCAAATTGAACTGTTGTCTTCAATGAAGCAACTGCCTTAGCCCATTCTTGAATTTTTGTTTTGAGCAGCTGATCACTACTGATGAGTACCAACTTCTTATTATTCTCAGCACCACCCTTTTTCACATCCTCCTCAACCTTATTCCTTGGATTTTCCTCAGCCAGAAGAAGATATGGAGGAGGTGGGTGTTCCCATGTTTCAAATTCTATCTCACATTCCATGCAGTCTACGCCGGCCATTGCTAGTGCTTCAACAGACATTTTTCTTCTTCTTCTTCTTCTTGCAGTATATATTTTTCAGAAAATAGAATATATGCAAAATAACTAACTTATCACAAGTGATGATGCCAGTGGATAATTTATACATGAAATTATGAATGCTTCTTTAAACTAAAAAAGGAGACACACACACGGAAGCTCATGAATGGGAAACTCATGGACTCAATTTGAATCATATACCCGTGATCTCTCTCTCTCTGTGTGAAAATTATTTGGGAAAGTCATGTACTTGTGAAATATGCTCCTAAATAAGTTGAGATCATGTGTATAGTGTGCAGTGTATGTAAAAATATTACATTAATGAGTGAAATATGCTCGTGGAATCCAAGTCATGTGACTGCTGGTGATGTGGCCAATGTATACGTCATCGGAGATGTGTTATCTCACTCCGTTCACGCTTAACTCCTTCCAATGAAAGTGAAAGATTACTATAATTTCACTTTCATACTTACACTTTTAACTGTGACAGTTAATCTTTCATAATATAAGTCAAGTTATAATTTTATTTTTCTGGCTATTTATCGGCAATGAGAGACTTTTCAAATAACACGCAAATAAAAAAATAAAATAAAATTTTAATCTATTAATATTATTGTTTAAAAAAATAAAATGTAAATACACAAATTAATATAAATATATTTTGTTTTTATCTCATCGGGCAGTTGGAGGGTTCGTGTCACACTGTGGATGGAATTCTACGTTGGAGAGCTTGTGGTACGGTGTGCCAGTGGCGACGTGGCCAATGTATTAAGAGCAGCAACTGAATGCATTCCAGATGGTTAAAGGGTTGGGAATGGCGGTGGAGATAAAGATGGATTACAGGAATGAATTTGTGGTGGAGCCGTTTCTGGTGACGGTGGAGGAGATAAGTAGTGGGATAAGGCAGTTGATGGACGGTAGTAATGAAATTAGGGAGAAAGTGAAGCAGATGAGCGAGAAGAGCCGGGCCGTCGTGATGGAGGGTGGCTCATCCTATAATTCCCTCGGATGCTTTATTGAAGACGTCATGAAAGACTTTGATTAGAATACAATGATGAAAAATGAGTGAATCAAAATAAAATAAAATAATTTCTGATTTTGTTTTGTACCAAAGTGATGGAAATTGCATGTAGGTTTCTTCTGTGTGATGTTGGAAGCCCAGATGTTTACGATATGAATGTTTATTTTAGGTTTCTTAATTTTATTTAATAAGTAATTTTCTTATAATTTTTAAATTTAAATACTAGTCTTGTGGGCTCCCGTACAAAAGTTTGACAAAAGCTCTAATAAATTCAAGCTAGTGCTACCCTCAATTATTGATGAAGTCAAACTACTTTTTTAGGAGAGAGAAATATCGTGGATGGAGTGTTCATTGTTAATAAAGTGATGGATGAATGGAAGAAGAGCAAGAAACAAGGGTTTGATTTTAAAGTTAGATTTTGAAAAAACTTTTGATTCTGTAAATTGAAAATACTTATTCTCTATGATGTCTCTGTTTCACCATAGCTAGAATCTTCATTCTTGTGAATGGATTACCAATTAAGGAGTTCTCATAATTCCTAAACTTTTTAGATATTCTTCAAAAAGTAATACTACAAACACATAATTAAGTACGTAAAAATTATTTAAAATTATCATCTTGTGATTTAGATTTATTCTACATATAAATTTCATATTAAATAAATTTAACTTTCACCACACAATCATCCACCCACCCAGAATTTTCCAGGAAAATATGTTTGGGGTCCTAATTTTTTTTTTAAATTATTTTTTTTAAAGCGATACCCTAAAAAATAAATAAATACTGTTATTGTAATTTATAAAATTCAAACCTTTACTTTTGAAGTTTTTAATGACAAGACCAAATTTATTTTATCTATTTTATTAGATGGTGTTGGTACATAAAATGGCTCATATTTTTGGTATTCTATTATATATGCGAAATCTTAATAATAATAATAATAACAATAATAATAAAAATAAATAAAATCTTAAACTCAACCCCTTGGGTTTAAGAAAAAATAGAGTAATATTTTAAATTAAAATTATGGATAAATTACACTGACACCTCTTGAGATTTTTGTTTAATACAAATTTTTCCTTCATATTTAAAAAATTACATTCTCCTCTTTAAGTTTTGTAACCTCATTACAAAATGCCCCCAGATTGTTGATGTCATACTCTAAAATTTTTCAAATGACCATCTTGATTTTTTTTTCTTACTATTTCTTCGTCCTATCATAATGACTATATTTTGCAACTATTTGTTTAAATTTTACCTGAACATATTTTTCTTCAGTGATGATATATAAACATAAATTTTATATAGAATTTTCAAACACAACGATATAACTTAATAGTGGCATTTCATTTTAAAACAAAACACTCATAAACATGATTTATATCATTATCACAATATTTTTATGATATTTTTTTATATAAATTTTTATATATGAATATAATTTTTCATTTTTATTTCCACCATTATATTTAGATTAGATCAATTTAATCCAAGACCTCATTTGGGAACAGACTATATTAGTAATTTTTTAACTTTTTGACTAAAATATATAATTGACAAATGGGCCTAAATATATTTAAAAAGTATAAAATTTGTAAAAATAATTTTTAAAAAAATCATTGAATATAACAAAATGAGATAATGTATTGATTTTTTTTTCTATTTGGTGAATTTTAAAAAAAATACAAAATATTATAC